TTGGCACTGACTCCCCACCGATATTCAGGCTCCGTTCCTCAAGAGCCAGTGCAAATCTGAAAAACCTTCCTCACAATTCTGAGCTGCCCGCCCTGATCTGCCCCCACGGAAAGGTTTTATTTTTGCTGCTCTGCTTGCATCCACCACTCCAAAAGTAAGATTTCTTCCAGGCTCAGGGTCTTCTGACTCCTCTTCCAAAGTATCCCTGGTCCAGGGAAGAGGATGCGGCATTATGGCAGTGCATAGTCAGAGCCTAATAATAGCTACAGCCCTACTGCCCTTCCTGTCCACACATGAAACACTTGCCCAAAGCATTTCACTCTTTATACCTAGGCAAAGACAAGAATTGTTTAAGGCAGTGAATGGGGTACAAATTACCCTGCTCCCCTCACATGCACCTAGTATAAGGCAGCTCAAAACAAAAGCACAAGCCTCAAGTCTGGCCATAGTTATCTTGTTACTCTTACTAATTTTATTTATTGACTCATTTATTTTTGTTCCAAAGTTAGAAATTGTAGCTCCAAAGGCAGCAAGCCCCCTTGGAGCAGAGAAACCAGTATTTGTTTGGTAATGATTTGAATTTAATTACACATTACCTTCGACCTCTCCAAAAAACAATTTAACAACTCAGGAGAAAACAGTCCAAGAACACCAAACTGCAAATGAAAAAGAAAGAAATAAAACCCAGCAACAACAAAAATCAAACAAAAACAACACCAGAGAAAAATAAATACTTCACTTCTAATTCAGGCACACAGAAATAGTGAGAAAATAGAGCTGGACAGGGCCTGAGGTTCTGGAGCCATTTATCAGGTGTTTAGTGCAGGGAGAGAAATATTACTTCTGGCAGTTGTTTCACTAAACTATTTTTAAAAGCATAAATATAAGAGGATCCACATCGTTCCTGCCTGGATCTCTTCTTGTCTTTTTCAAAATCACTCTCTAGAAGACTCCATAACCAAAATCTGAACACCCAAATCAGTGGAGTTTGGATCACCCCATCCTCCAGAAAAAAAAAAAAAAAAAACCAAAATCACTGACCAACCCTACCAAATGCCAAGTGTTTTTAAAGCGGCTTTCAAAGCAGAAACAAAAAAAAATTTCTCCTTTAAAAATTAGGGGTTTAAAGAAGCTAACATGATATGCATATCAACCACAGCCAAACAGGAAAATATTAAAAATTTTTACTGGTAATGAGACGGGTTAGTAATGGAAACAAAAATTACAGCAAACACCTTCCACAAGGGAAGAGGCTTTTTATGAAAGAATAATAAAATTGTCTTGTAGCTGTGCTAATATAGCTATCAAAGTGACAGTTTTGTCCTTTCCTTCTTTAACAGAACCTTACTCACATATTAAGCCTTACCCCTCAAAAAATGTTTAAAAATATATTAGGAATTCTACTACTTTTAGATTATATTGCCATGCATTATATTGCAGTAGGCAAACAACTACTAAGATGAGAAAATTAGCTCTAAGATACTAAAAACAGGTTTTTTCTGCTCTTCAAAGATGCAGAAGTATCTGTTACCGGTCTTGTTTTGAAGCCAAGAATGCTAATAGTTTGGTGGTCATTTCCAGCCTCTATGGGTCAGTCCACAGCTGTGCAGGCACTCAGTTTCAAAGGTATTCTCCATGCTTCTTAGTACATTTTACCAAGATAAAATTTCTTTATGAAAGTCTCAGTCAAAACAAAAGCGAATACCTGACTCTGCACTGCTGCAATCAGTTACTTACCTTAACATTTACAGAAAGAGAAAACAAGAAAAGCAAACATCCTACCACTGCACCCAGATAAGAAAACTAAAAGACACTGAAAGACAGCATACTAAAAACAAAAATTTGAAAATAACTCTTCAAAGCAGATTATCTCCAGTATCACCTTGAACAGCAGAAAAGCAAATTCTGTAATTAAAATCATGAAATATGATAATTAAACAGTAACTGAGAATAGCAAGTGCCAGATGAAGTACAATTTATGAGATGCTTGCATGTTGTTATACTGCAAAAACAATGACTTGCACAAACTGAACTGATTCCAGCCCAAGCTTCAGGTCTTTACTGACACTTAAGAAAACTTCAGTCTTCAGTCTTTTCAGTGTCAAACACCATTTTTACAATGGCTAATTTTTTTGCATATCCAAGTGTTCCTTGAGGAAGCAAATGGCAATATTTATGTAGAGATTTAATAAAAAAGACCAAAGTCACATTCTGTTCAGTTCTAAGCAAGGTCAACAAAGTCATGCACCTTGTTTTCCTCACTTGCACTAATGGGAACAAGTATTCTGAAACAGCACAGACACCCCACCCTAAGCCTTGTCAACCCAGCCACCACCTGATCTACTACCAGTTTGACACCATGCAAAGAAATGTCTCACTGAATTTGGAAAGTTACTACCACTCTTATACCTGAGACAAATTATTGATCTTATCTGTCAATATCATGAACATATTTTTTTTATGGAAAATGCAGCTTTACACATTAAAAAATGATACATCCATTTCAGGCCTGTTCATTCTTAGGTAGTTGTTTCTTCAAAGAGAGAGGAACAGCTGAAGTTTAGATGTATGTTTAGAAGGAAAGGAATTACAATTTACACATCTATTTCAGTCTAAGACTCACCCCATCTGCCTTGCCACAAGACAGAAACTTCAAACAATCACATTGTATGCTGCAGAAAGTCACAAGCTGAGAACTGTAAAACCACAACATCCTGGAGAAGAAAACATCTGAGCAACAGACTAAAAAAATGTAAGCACATGTACTCATAAGATCTGCTGCAAACCCTGGACTGTGCTTTTCGGTCTCTGCTCTGCCACCAAGCCCACTCAGCTCTTTCAGATAACATCAACAGCTGTGGAAGATCATCAACGCAGCCTGTTTTGCCTCTAATGGAGGAGCTGACTCTCAAGCTCAAAGCACGTAAGAAATGTGAAAGAGTAAATCCAGCTCAGCCAAGAGAGCTTAAGCAGCTAGCACTGGAAAGGCTTATGCTGACAACACAGACCAGGTACATCCGAGTTGCCTTAGACTGAAACACCAGGAAAGCATCAAAACAAAAAATACCAGTATTACCAGATGCTAACAAATTTAGTGCAGTAGATTATTGACACAGAGAACCTCAATCCCACTGATAACTGAGGCAAAACCACCATAAAAACTACTTCTGAAGAGTAATATTAGAGCACGATGAAAAAGCACATTCTCATCACCCATCCAGACTTTGAAACAACCATGAGAATACTGTTCTGGCAATGCAGTGAAGCAATACATAGCTTCATCTGTTTTGCAGAAAAATGTGTTTGGCCTATGTGCTATCAAAGGCCCAGGTGATCTTCATTTCCCACTAAATCTTCCAAAATCAATGATATTGTTTCCTAATTTGAGATATTACTTCACGTATGCAACATTTCCATTACAATGATCAGTATCTTGATTAATACCCAAGGAGATGAATGAACCCAAACAACTAGCTTTTCAAATTACATTCCACCTTGTGTCTCTGAAATCACTACTTTAAGACTGTAACTGATGGATACTGTGAAACAAGCTCCCTTAAAAAGGGAACTAAAGCTTCCCCTCCCATGCCCTTTCCATGATAAGCAGAGAACCTTTATACCCAGCCAGCAATTCTCCTCATTAATACAAACACCACAGATTCTCCATTAATAAAATCATTGAAAGCCCGTTCTTTTCTACCCATCACACTCCAAACAACACACTGCTCTACCTCTGGTTAATCAACTGCTGTATTTCACTATTCAGCAAAAGGGAATGATGTAAAATACCTACCCACAGTTCTTTCAGCCACCACTCAAAACTGACCTCATTTTCTAAGCACTTCAAGTACCTGACCAGTTACACAAATCCTTCACACAGTAGATTTAAGTTCATCCCAAGAGAATCCAATTAAAAATAAATGGTGGTAATGACCATCAACTAGCTAAGCGAGATTTCTTTATTCTCCTACAAAACTGAGGAAACCAAGCACTACAAGGACTTCAAGCCTAACATTTCAGACAGAAAAGACACGTAAAACATAAAACCGGAAACCACTCTAAAAATAAAGACAAACATAAAAATAACCAGGAAGACCAACAACCTCAGCTGAGAGACAATTAAAGAAAAGATGATTCTGAGACACATGCCAGCATATTAAGACACTAGCAAGCCTGGTGCAACCGTATCAGTGAGATTCCCTCATTGGTAAATAGGTGTTCATGTCCCTGAAAGCTAGCCCTTCAAAAAAAAAAAAAAAAAAAAAAAAAGAAATTTTATACAAAATGTTTCGATCATCCAAAAGTTTTCTGTAAAGTATCTAACATTCACTCCAAATAAAAACGCTTTTAAAAAGACTCAACATTAAATCTGAAGGTCTATGAAAGAAATCACATTTGTCTCTGGCTAGCCTAAGTGAAACGAGCCAAACCAATGCACCTCATCAATGATGCAAGACAGCATCTTAGTTAAAAACTCATATCCAGTGTGCTGGTGAGTAGAAAGCGTACCTTCAACATAGGAGTAACTTCATCTTCACATATTACAAAATGCAGATTACACACTTATCCAGAACAGACAGCAGATAAAGAACAGAAAAGGATAAATAGAGAAACAAACAGTTATTCTACCCCTATGTTTGCATTTTAATTTCCCAATCTTAATCTACAGGTACTCAGGAACATGATTTAAAATGCACTTACATTAATAGCCTAATGTCTTCTTTTATAAAAGAATAAACAATGGTTATGGCAGTTCCTTTTTATATACAACCATGAAAAGAAGGAACCTTCAGCAGCCAACAATGTTATTTCCAATGGAAATCCAGGTAATCCTATTTTCTTGAAAAAAAACAAAAACCTCAGCATAGCCTATCTTCTTCAATATTTGTTCTAAAAGGCTAACAAGAGTTCCTCAGCTAAGGAAGAGATTCCTTTACAAGGAACAAAAGGCCAGTATGGGCAGTGTTTACCAAAAACACAGCAAGGGCTGACCACCAGTGTGAAGTGTTCACTCCACAAGTGCCAAATTTTTAATAAAAAAAAAAAAGACATTTATTTTAACAGAATATTACAAACAACTAGTTTCAATGATCAACAAATAAAACTTTACAAAACGCAAACAATGTAATTTCCAATTGTGCAGTGACAGATATCCCAAGTTTACAAACACAACATCTTTTTGTTTATGCCCACTTAAAAATCATTTCCAGTCTGCTTTATTTTCCATCAAATACAGTACATTTACCCAAACAAAAGCATGTACATTCAATATAGAACATTTTGAGCAAAGCTACAATCTTAATTCCCATTCACAGTATTTTTAGTGCAATGCACTAACAGGGCCAAATAGTTCTCTATCCATAAAAGCATTTTTACTCCTGATCTTGTGATCAACATTTAGATATATTTTATACAAAAAAAGTATATATGAACACGAGGCACCTCCCTAAGTAAGGGAGTGAACCGATATAAAAAACATGGTATTTCTTCTGATGTACAATACCTTTCAAATTGTAGCAATTTGACACAAATCACTAAACAAATTATTTTCTAAAAGGTAAAAAAATAAACCAAAAACACAAACAAAAAAAAAATAACCCCAAACAACAAAAAAACCCCAAAACAGAACCCATGATCAAATGAAACCTGCCAAGAACTTCATCATGGTAGGCATGCAACTGTTTTACTACAATCTTAATTAAAAGGTTAAAAAAAAAAGTTATCTAAAATATTTTCCAATTACACAAAGTCAAGTACTACACATAGTGGTCATTTATGATTTTGAGAGAAAATATATTTTGAGTTTCTCCCAAACTATCCTCCCTTTTTATTAATATTTAATGAAATAAGCTAACATTATAAGTGGTTGTGCACAGATTGTCTATAATACATCAGCAAATATTCACTACCTTCATATTAACATTAGTGTGTTGATCTTTCAAAAATAAACTGAAAAAATAAACTGCAACTATCATTAAAGTGCTTGTGTATATTTTTTTTTAAAAAAATTAAAGAATAGAGGAATGTGGATATTCTTGTAAACTTCCTAGATGTTTACAAAGTTTTCTTATGAACCACATATGGAAACAAAATGGAGGTCTTTGAAGCAACTTCAGCACAGTGAAATTCAGAATGTCCTTGAACTAGGAAATTAGTCAATATGAACAAACTGAATTTATGGCAAATACTAAAAATTAGTAGAATTCAGCCAATAAACACTACATTGTTTGCTTTTATACATTCATTTGTAATAAATTTAAAACAGTATGTAACACAACATTTACCAAAGTAGGATATCACATCAAAGTTTGAGCTGTCCATCAATTAGCACTACCAAGGAGGACCAGTATGCACGATGAGTTTTCTGAAGATTTCCTAAATGAGGAAAAACCACCTTCTTCCAAAGCTGCTGTTCATTAACTTGTCTCTGGTATACTCTTTTTCAGTTTCAGGAAGTTTGTTCTATACTGGGTCAAACTACAACTGCATAGAGAAAACTGCTAATTTAGAAGCATGTGCATTTCACTTCAACTACTTCAGTGTTTTGGGAAGTGGTATTGTCCTACGAGCAGTCAGAATGATTATTAATATAATAAGAAAAAAAAAACACCTTATGAAAGTATTTTCTCCTTATAGTACCATTATCAAGAATTAGCAGTTCCAACAACAAACTAAGGTCTTTTTCATTCAAATGAACTTCAAACTTTCCGAACATCACTTGAACCTATCTGAAGAGAAACGGGAATAAATTAATACTTTGAGTTTACCCATATAATTCTGTTTTAAAGTACACAACATAAATAATTTCTAAGGCTAAATGTTTAATTCTTATTCAAAATGCAGAAGTCACTCCCCCTCTAGAATTCAGCATAATTCAGGGTTCAACTCAGTTCATTTTTGAAGTTCTGCCTAATTTGATCAGGATTGATTAGGAAGTCACAAAAGCACCACATCACAATTTAACATAACGAGGTGGTTATTCACTGTGAAAGCTGAACTCAAGTCAAATCACCTCCCAGAAAATAGCTTTTCAGAGTTGAAATATAGAACAAGGCACATATAACTTAGTTTTCTTTTTACCAAATATGCTAGAAAGATGATTCTGAATAAGGATGTTAAAAACTCCTACAAGTATCATTACAGTCTCTCTTCATCATGTTTTTGTACAATCCCCAACCTTCAGCCACCAACTGATCATTCTGGAATACAAAGTGGCTGCACACAAATATTTTCTTTTTTAAAAGGTCCTCTAAAAATAGGCCACCTTTAACATGAAGGCTGTGGAAAACTGAGTAACTACAAATACAATCCCTCGAAGTCTAAAAAAATTCTCAGAACACCACATAAGCAGAAGTTTAGAAAATTCTAGCCCAGACTTCAATACATATCGATGCTTAAAGCAAAAACTTTGATAAGATTTGAACAATTTAAAACACTAAATGACCACAAGTCTCCAAAAACAGGCTTATATAAATAAGCATTAAAAGAATGAAATTCTAAATTTAATGACGTCAAAGGTATCTGCAGGCACCTAACCCATATAATGATTTTAAATCAAAGCAACTAAGCAACCAAATTACATCAAAAAAAACTGTTCAATGCACTTTTGTTGACAGTGTGTAGGCAATACATATTAAAACAAAAAATTAAATTCACAAATGCTAATTCCAGTAAGTTCAGAGATTTTTTCTGTTATAAGCTTTTACTTTAGTACTTTTAGTACTTCTTCAAGTGGTCACAGCAAAGCTAATTGAGTTGAGTTACTCAAACAAAATTATTGCTAATTTTAGAAAATTACTATTTTAAAAGTGTATGCATATTCACTTGATTACAACAGATGCCTTAAAACATTTTAAACTTAGTATAAACTACATTCCATCTTTCTACAATGACAATATTTAGATTTTAACTCTTCTCCAAAATGCTAAAAAAAGCCAAAAAAACCACCAAATTTGACATCTACTTTGGCATTTAAGCCACTAAATGATAAAGTCTATGAGAAAATACATTTTCAGTAATAAATCAACTGAAGCAGAAGAAAATGAAGTGGTATTGTTGGGGTTTTTTTAAAAAAATAAAAAAAATAAAAACAAGGACAAAACACTTTTTCTTTTTCCTCACCAGACAACAGCTTTAGATCTTGTACTTCTGCCTTTGGTTTTACTTTCTTCAGGTGAATGAGATACGTTTGCTTTGTGGGTTTTCTTATGATGTTCCAGGAAAGCTTTTCTGGCAAATGCTTTCCCACATTTATTGCATCGGTGCAGAGAAAAGTTTTTTGTTACTTTTACTTCAATACCAACATCAGTTCCTTCATACTTTTTATTGGGAGAATTAGAGGTGACATCCTGTTTTGAACCAATCTGTTTTGTTTCATCCCTTTGAGAGCCTCTTTTTGTCACCTTATTTAGAACAAGATCGATTGGCTTCTTTATTGCTCTTATTTCTAAACTTGCCGTTATTTTCCCAAGGTAGCGTGGCGACTTTTTATGAACCACAGTTATGTGTCTTATCACATCACGCTTGCGACGCGTTTCGTAAGAGCAGAGTGGACACCTGTAGTATTTAACATAAATATTATTTCCATCTGTGTGTAATTCAATGTGTTTTGTTAAATTCTGTTTAGAAGTGAACTGGCGCTTACAGAGTTTACAGTAAAGCTGCTTGAAGTCAAAGCCAGCTGAAAGTTTTGGCTTCCTGGTTTTTTGCTGGCCACCTGCAGCAGATGCATTGGTTGATTTAGGGGTTGATTTAGTGGTTGATTTGCAGGTTGATTTAGTGGTTGATTTAGAAGTTGATTTAGGGTTTTCAGGGTCCTGTTTAACCTTATTTTTCTGTGCTGACGGTGTGTTCTTTTTCTCATTTGAATGATTTGTTCCCTTTAATTCATTCTGTGGAGAAAGCGCAATGGAAGGGGGTGAAGGTTCTACAGAATCTGCTGGTTCGACTTTTATTTCTGTGCCATTGGTAGCATTGTTGGGTCCTTTCTCTCTTTTAGAGTTCTTCCCAGAAAGAGTTATCTTGTGAACAATTTGCATATGCCTTTTCAGCATTATTTGTGAACTATATTTTCTCTTGCACAGAAGGCATTTGCATGCACTTAAATTGTATTCAGCCTTTGAAGACGACTTTTGTTTTCTGGTCTTAAAAGATTTTTTAGCAGAAACTGTATCCAAGAACAAAGGCTGCCCAGGCTTTGTAGCTATATCAGGAGTAATGGAATCCCTTCTTAATCCTCTATGAACTTCATCAAAATGCCTCCTTACATTGGCTTTTGTGGCAAATGATTTATAACACACGGGACAACTTCTACCTAGTGTTACGAGAACATTCTTATTTCGTCCTTTTGCAGAGCACTGGTTTAGTTTCTTTTTTGTTTCTATGTACTTCTTTAGCTCCTCCATCTTTTTTTTGTGTACTTTTCGAATGTGCCGGCGTACACTCCGTCTTGAATGAAATTCCTTCCTACAGAGGCAACAAATCAACTGGTGGCCATAATCAGAATTATCCAGAGAGTCCAAGTCAGGATTTACTGCTGGTGGCTGCTCTTCAGGAGTAGGTATCACCTTGTTTGTAACAGGATCAGCAGGAGGTAACTCTACAGCCTCCCCAGCTGGGACTGGAGCTGGGGCTGAAACAGTCTTGGGTTGCTCAGTGCTGGGTTCCTGTATCTGTACTGGAGCTTGATCAGGGGTATGGCTACTTTCTGTGTTCTCATCTGGGCTATCAGTCCTTGACACATATTGAAATACAGCATTTTGATTAGTTTCTATAGGTTCCAATGTAATGATATATTCTTGCTTATCTACCCTTGGATAAATTGCTTCAAGAAGGTTATTTATGGCTTGACTCTGCTTATCTTTTGTATCTGGGAGGTCTGTGGAAAGAGGAAAAGGTATTTTTCAATGATTTAGCAATTTCCAATTATTTAAATTTCAAAGTAGCTTTTAACCACTATGTGAATTCAGTCTCTAAATTTCCACAAATCCTCTTTTGTACTCTCTGAACATTCAAAGGCTTTGAGTAATCATTACAAGTTGCCTTTTTATTAAAAGCCAACATCGGAAATAACCCTCCTGGTGTGCTAATGTGAAAGCCACCTGAACTAAAAATTTGTATGACTGGAATTAAGCTGGTCTTTAAAAAACTGTATCAATTGCAAATATAACATCATTTGACTGAGCTTGTTCTGCAGGCTTGCAACTAAGCCTGAAGTATCATTAAAAACCAATTTTCCTACTGTGGGATACAGGCACTCTCAATAAAGGAACCTAATTCTGGAAATAAGCTCTTCTCTGTGAATTCTGAACAATCCTTACCAAAGAATGAAACATCTGTGCAACCTGAGCATTGCACAAAGATAAAAGTAGATAATATTTTACAGGTCTCAGTAATATTCTCTTTTTAAACACCAAGTTAGTTCAGTGCTCCAGTTCCCAGTGCGACAGTCAAAGCATCTGCCAATGGCACAACTAGGAAGTTGGGGTCCTACAGCAAAAAGGTGAGGCTCTGAGATGACACAGTTCAAATTATTGTGGAAAATTTTAAAGATGTGAGTCCTGGTAACAGCTAATTAAAAACCCACAGTCAAAGTTATTCCTTCCACACACCCAGCAACACATGGAAAGTGTCAGTACAAAATATAGGCTGTTTTGCTGCTCCAAACCCATTTTTAAACACTGAATTTTTAACAGCTTTTTCAGTCAGTTTCAAATGAGCCTATCTATATAGTTTTTACCAAGAGGAAGAAGTCCTTCCTATTTTATAGCATCTTTTAAGACTACTTCATGACTATACTGAGTGTGTGAATTTTTCACCATAGTGCGCTGAACTTTTATTCCTGCCTCTTGTTCACTATCTTTTATCTATTGAAAAAACTCCCACTTAGTTCAACAACTACTCAATTTTATATAAAGCACAAGTATTTATACAGTTTTATTCTGAGTGTGTAGTATTATTCCTTTTATTTGCACCTCTCATAGTGAACAGTGGAAGTTATTTTATTTGTACATTATTTCATATTAACATATGAAAGTTAATCAGAAGGTTAAATGATAGAATGCCAGGAGCCGGACATGAAGTTTCTCCTCAGGATAACCTTACTTTGCTTAGAAACTATTGCATCTAAAGTCACATGCACTTCTAACCTTGCTTTCAAACTACGAGTCACCCCTTCTCACAGAGAAGCTCTGTGACTCTAACTGGCCAAGCAAGCTCATTTAAGGAAGGTGACAGTACCAGCCTTTTCACCTTCTCCTTTCAGCTGACACCATGTGTGAAAAGAATCATTAAAGTGCATCTCTGTTCCTAATTTTTGAAATATTAAGGCAGGAAGGCATTAATCAGGAAAGAAAAAGCCTCATTGCAACTATATTGATCTAGTTAAGGGATCAAGGTAATTAGCTTTACAAAACATTTTTTAATGCTGACACATTTCCAAATTAATCAGCTTTACTCAGATCAACAAAAAGTTATCACTGGAAAGAGACTGCAATAGATTTCTTTTTCCATAAAAATATCATTCTTGGCTTATCCCTCATCATTTAAGTTACTGCTTTTAATAATAAAGTTTATTTTCTACAACAAAGATCTAGAGCTAGGCATGACCACATAGAAGATGTTAAAGCAGCACACAGTGAAGTGAAGCAGGGGAAAAGAGACAGACAGCATTATTCAAGCACAGATCCTTAAATAAAAGCATAAACTTTCAGTCTGTGTTTCACACTGACTAAGACCAAAAGACTGCATCCATGACACAAGCACTGTAAGGGCTTCCTCAGTACAGAAGAATATTAAGGAAATTGACCTTTCACTTCACAGGAGCAGCCCAAGTCCATCAGAACTAAAACTGAAATACCCTGTTAGAGCCACTGTTTTCTGTGAGATTAGTTTCCCAGTCTTTGACATGCTTTTGATATCCTCCACAGTAAAGGACAGACGAGAAAGGAAAAGGGGAAGAAAGAACAGAAAGTGTTAAGAGTGACACTTAATTAAAAGGCTAGATGTACAAACTAGTTATCTAATTATGATATTGGCATGGCTCTTGGCTGTCAATTCATATAAAATCATTGTTATAGCTCCTCCATGAAACATGAAAGTGTTATGGTAACACACATTACCACAGAAATTTAGATCCATTTCTTTTTTGTATTTTTGTTTCAGGTATATTTGTGTAAATGGTAAAGAAAGATTTTTCAACTTCACATAGCTTTATTAAACATTTAAATTAATAAGACTTACTATCATCCATCTGAAGACTTGGAGGACAATAGAACTTTTTATGAGTAATTAAATTTGGTAACCCTCTGAAGAGACTCCGGCACAATTTACACTCAAAAATGGTGTCCACATCCTTTAACAAGATATGTTTAAGTTGTTTTGTTCCTGTAATAAAAGAAATATTACACTTAAGGAAGGCTTTCTGTTCATCTCTTAATTCACATCATCCCATGAAAGTGGAAACATTTTAGACCATGAATAATTTTAACAGCATTTTATCTTTTGTTAATGCTACTTCACTTGTACTGTAAGCTTATGATACGTGCTCCAAATTTCACTATGCAGACAAGACTAGGGTGAAAACCCCTCAAGGATTACACACATTACAGTTTACAGAGAAAGTGCAATGATTTATAATAAAAACTAACACCAAACATTAGAAAAGACTTCTTACTATGGTATCTGATTGTTGCAATACAATTGCCCAATAGGAAAGAAGAAGTACGCAGAGCATTTAAAGAAGCCTGTAGTATTTTTCTTTAGGGTTATCCTACAGTGCTAAAAGAACAAGACACATCCAGCTATTTCACATAGAAATGGCACCTGGTAAGGCAAAAAACTCAAGCATAAAATAGACAGAGAGAATAACTAACAGGTCAAGAAATGTTACTACATGTAAGAAATGTTACTACATGTAGATATCTGACCCAACTCCAAGATGATGACGCTTAGCTCAGACAGTAGAAATGTAGGCATATTTTCAGCCTGATGAAAGGAAAACACATACAACTGAAATCTGAAAGATCTCCATTAAAACACAGAGAACGTGATAAAATATGCCAGTTTTCTAGACTATTATGCATTGTATACAAAGGTAGTAAGATCTAGCATTGTTGAAGTATTCCAGTTCCTGTCATTTTTTTACACTTCAAACTTACTCCTTCATTTCTCATCTCATGACAATTATGAATGCAAGGCCTAAAATTAGCAATAGACTATTAAATGATGCTTACCCACCCCAAATTAGAAAGGAGCACTAACTAACAAAATTCAGCTAATTTATCTATCTTGATTTTTCTTAAAATTTAATTACTCAAGACTTATCAAACAAGCAAAAATATAACAAAACCAGACCATGAATAAATAATATCAAACACCTATGGAATAGCAGCAGCAAGACATTCTTCAAGCTGAACTACAAGGTCAAGTGTTCTGTCATCTCATTACACTTCTCTTAAGAATTCCTTTCAAAGATCAAACTCAAAGTCAGTTTGAAAGATCAAACTGCAGAACTATTTTCTAAATTAAAATCTTTCAAATATTAATAATCTCATGATAGGCAATAGTTCTTCAATAAAAAAAGGGCCTCCCCAAAAAAACTCATTTCTTGGTGCAATAATAGTACTACAAAGCTTCCAGCAAAGCAGTGTCTTCTTCTACAGTTCCTTAAAAATGGTATCCAAACTTGACTATCTGAGGCTACCACAGTTCCTGTCCCCTCCTATGCCTTCCCAAGACATATCCACTGCTATTTCTTTGAGTGTTACCAACCTCACCTTCATTTGATCTGCATTTTTACAGACAACTGGAAAAATATTTAGATACAGCAACAAATAAAAATTTTACAGTTTCCCCCAAAAGCAGGTTGTTTACTCAGATGTCACCAACATTTGAATTTCTGCATATAAAAATTCAGCTGAACAAAACTGAAGATGCTCCATGTAGATAAAATTCCACACTCTTCATGCATGCCCTAACCACAAACCTCAGTCTCAAAAAATAAAAATATTCTCCACTATTACCCAATCAAGGTTATACTGGTATAACTCCCCCGTTATACTGCTATTCAGTCTCCTGTTCAGGACTGAAATGGTTTTTTTCCAATACAAATTACGGGATTTAAGAATTACCAGATGAGATTAAAAAATTTATTACATATCGGAGCTCATACTATATGACATGGTAGTCACTCTGGCTTCAAATCATCCTTATGCAATTGTGAAACTTTTCACAGCTGGGAGTAAAGAAAAATAAGTGGTCCTTTAGAATTAAATTGTAGACATCCAGAAACTTCTGGATACAGCAAAAAAATGTAAAATATCCACTGGTTTTGTGGACACAGCAGGCAGAGGAAAACAAATCATCTCCTATTCTTCGCCAACTGCAGACAGTGGCAACAAGTCAATCTTGTGCCAGTAGATGCTGCCTCCAGGTTACTGGAGAAGAAAGATTTACTGAAGTCTTTGCTATTTTATAGCTACATCTAACTGTAAATTGTGATGGTAATGCAGATGATACCTTGCCAAATTCTGTTAATATCTGTAAATGTTGATGCTAGAATAACATCAAAGTCACAAGTCAGTAGAGAACACAAGTCATAAATATCTCTTTATGAGATACCCAAATTTATGCCTTTTGCAAGCAGTTTTTTAGAAAAAAAAAGATTCAAATTCACTTTTTATTCTTAATGCTCTGAATGACAGAAGCCTTGGATAAAATTACTTAGACAGGAATGTACAATACTCTGTGTTAAATTTCTGTTCCTTTATCACAAGAATCAAATACTCTCTTTCCATAACGAAATGCTGCTTGTTTGAAACTAGTCAGTAGAATCTTTCCCTAAGACCTCTTGCCTTCTGCCCAGTCTCCCTGATGCAGGTGACTGATGACAGCAAAGTAAGGTATCAATTTAACACCTGCCAGTGAGGATGATCTGGAAGTAACTCAGAGACAAAGTACCCGCAAATAGTTTGTGCTATTACCAGTAGCATTAATCTGCTCCAAGCAGAAGAAGCCTGTGTCATGTATCTGAGGCCTCAAGCAATCTCAAGCGAACTAAAAAATGAATGAATATTAATGAATATTAATGAATAATCTCGCAACCTATTTTTGTATTAGGTTATTGAAATGCTAGTGGACAACTTAAACACTGTGCCCTTTTACAAGACTCAGACCAGACATGCATCTCATTGCACAGCAGCAGTGCTTTTATACATAACATATTTCATATATGTAAAAGTTCTACGTGAAAAAATCTAGAAACGTATAGTAGCACTAAAGACCAAGAGCTGTGAAAATAAAATCTTTAGTTTGCCAAAGATCAGAAGTGTGGAAACCCTGGCATACTTCCCCAAATGTTTAGCTGCTCATTGCTATGTATTGCAACTCCCAAAACCAATCAAGGAACACCTTAAAAGAAATATGATAAATCAATTTAGGATATTCAAGATAAAGCTTTTTCTTCGCCTCAGGAGTTTTACGATAAACTCCCTGATAATAACACCAGAAATGACACAAAGCAGAAAAACAAACTTAATTTTTAAAGTTTTTGAAGGATACCTATACAGCAAGATTTGTATCTTCATTACTTTCTACAGAAACCCTTATTGAAAGGAACACCTAATTTCAAAAAACTACAGATATTTTGCAAATATGCATAAAGTCAGGTACTGGTTATTTTAATACACTGAATATAACTCTTCTAACACGGTAATGAAATTCTTAAGGGTCAGGCATGGTTTCCTACCTGATCGAAAACACTCAATGATTTGTTGTATACCAGATTTTGATGTTTGCAGAGGCTGCTGCAATAATGGAGGATCACCAGGTTCCAACAGATGCACTGAAATACATAAAAAGATAATAAGCCATTAGAGAACACTCAGGTGATTTCTGTAATTTAGGAATTTTCCATACATACAGTAAACTAGCTAAAAAGTCAGGACTACAGTAAAAGTAGCCTTGCTCTAAAATTTTCACTTATACTGTATTAAAAAAAAGTCAATACTGAATTTTCCAGCCATGATACCTTCAGACAGTTTGCTGTCTTTTTGATCACTTAAAAAATGCGTATTCAAAGCTCCCATTGTTAAAACCAAACAACATGTATGAAAGAGAATTACCAAATACTGTATTACCAGCATTACCAAATACTTCATAGCACACTACATTACTTCAATGTTGCCAGTATGCACCTAAACACTGGAGCCAAATTTAAAGTAGCAATGATCAGAAAAAAAGCACAAGCATAGCTACATAGCATATACCAAAAAAACCCTATCATAGTATTTTTAACCATGAAAACTACACTCAACATTAACTACTCGGGCTCAAATAAACTGCTGAGGGAATACTTTATTTCTGATGTTTCATTCCACATTATATTCCTTCCAAAAGCTATTGAAACAAAAACATATATTAATCAGAATTTTTAGCCATTCCAATATGCAGTATTTATGCACATAAAACTTAACAGCACTCCACTGCTGTATATAGATATGGCAATTAAGCTTTGCCTATAGTGAAAACAAATTTACAATAATAAGAATACTTCTTGAAGCATGTGTTTGCAAAAACTTCAGTTAGGTCTTCTTTTATACTTTTGATTGACTAAACAGCCAGCCTTGTACTTCACAAACTGGCTCCCACCTTAACCACTTGGTTTGATTTTAACCCCATTTTAAGGTTTTCATTTCTAAATGAAGCACTGAGATCTCTAAGAAATATATTTTTAATAAAGTTCAGTTGAATCATAGTATGAAACTAGTTAGAGATAATAAGTGCAAAAAGAATAAACAAATTTTGACAGGAATATTGAGCTAAAAGATAAAAGGTTATAAATGAATTCTAGCTGAAAAGAACATCAGAAAACAAAGCACTATAAAAAAGGACAACAGAATGAACACTGCACCCAACTATCCTGGTCTCATAACATACTATTATATATACAAACATGTAACAACCATAACAAATCAGCTCATCATTTGGATCTCTCTAACACAATGACACATTGTATTCCACTAGCCTACTCCCTACACTTCAAAATAAACCATTTTGGTTTGTATACAGCCTCTAATATGCATGTACAACACCTACTGACATCAAGAAGAGTAACACAGATGAAGCAGACCTAACACATCATTGTTAATTTGTCAGGAAAGAAAAATATTTTCATTTTTTTGAAAGCATTAGAAAACTCAAAACCATTTCATCATCAACACAAAGAAACATTTCTATTCACTGAACAATATCTACTCTAAAATTACATATCACAAAAGAGGCATAATCGAAGTCACTATGCTCACATTTTCATCTGTTTATTCCCCAAACTGATCCCTTTCTTGTCAAAACAAAAGTGGAAGCATCCAAATAAAGCACCTTTCTTTCAAAAATGTAAGTGAACACATCCAAATAAACTCTACAACAAGGCAAAAAGAAACAAAACTGCCTTCAAAAATACCAATTATAACAACAAGCAGAATAATTTCAAAAGCATCAAAACCTGATGAAGGCTAAACCTTCAGAATATTCATTACCGTTTCCACTGATGGCATCTTTCACATCACTCAGCCATGGAATGTAGCGTTGTTCTAGAACTTAGTCTCAGAGGAGAAAAACCCCATCAAGATCTTAAATTTCACCAGAGCTCACCAGAGAAGACAAGGTAAAAATATAAACAACAAATGCAAATGATTGCCAAAAACACTATTTTACAAAAAAAAACTGAGAACACCGCACTTTTTGGAAACAAAAGGGTTTGTTGTTTTACACAACTTCTTGCCTTCCTCTGCTCACTGCATACAATGCCCATATGTTGGCCTGAGGATTATCCCACATCCAGGAAGTAAAATAGTCTCTTCCTGAAATGATTTTAAGGTGACAGCTCAAGGATACCAAAAGAAAAAAAAAAAAGAAAAAAAAAAGAAAAAAAAATTCAGAAACTTTTCATACATAGAGCTGACAGTAATGATACACATTTGAAATCCTCACAACAGTTTCTGCAAGCTTTTAATGAAGGAGATATGCAAAACATCCGAATCCATCGGAAAAACATCCATCACACACCACTATACCTGGTTCACAGCATCCATGGTGATGGTGGTCAGTCTGACAACACTTGTCCCTTAGAGGCATTTTCTGTGCGCACGATCTACTTTCCTTCTACATCCAGCAGCTCGTTTCTGCTAAAATAAGGAAATTGGCTGTCACCGCCGAAGCACAGGCGGCTCAGGAGCGCGCCAAGCCCACACACCCACTTCCTACGGCAGCACGGCCGGGCAGGCCGGAGGCAGCGGCACCGCTGGCGCAGGAGAAAGTTCCCATTGTTTTCCGCAGGTCTCACGACGCCCTCAGCAACGGCCGCGGCGAGCACGGCCCCGCTCCCGCCCCGCCGCCACCTGCGCCTCGGCCACCGCCCTCCCCAGCGAGCCCGGCCCGGCCGCACGTCC